GTCTCCACAGAATCATCAATGTCCGAGCTCCTTTTGTTTCTGTTCCACTCTCTTTACCGCTCGGTTCATCCTCAGGACTTCTTCTTGCCGCAGACGGCCACTGCAGCCATAAGCGCCCACCCACAGACCACCATGAACAGGGAGGTGGAAGGGCAAACCAGCAGGTGTGCACACACTTTTAAGCAGATCTCCTGCAAGTCTGACCACAGGCCTTCTCCATGTTTCATGATCCTAAACTGTCTCATGATCACACCTTTCGTTTAGAGTGTAGCCATTTTAAAATATAGTAAGTCCTCACTTCATGTCATTGATAGGTTCTGCAACTTTAAGCCAAATGACATATAACCAAACCAATTTTGGCTAATAGACATAAGAATTCAGTTCCCATGGCTTCTCATCAATGTTGCAACCAAAGAGTGTTGACTGAAACAGTGATATCCAAGGACCTGCTACAGATCCACAAACCTTTGGACAAATCTCCTTTTGAGAAGTGGAGCCTGATTTCTCGTCCCTTGAGTATACACTGCACTTAGGGATCTGTTTCTAATAAACAGAATGTGAAAGAAAGGATGGCGTGTGATTTCTGAGACCAGGTCGCAAAGAGGGCTCTGGCGTCTCTCCGGGATCCCTCTTTCGGGAGGAAGCAAGCAGCCTCATTGTGAAGACACAAGCAGCCCTGAGGAGAGGTTCATGTGTGCAGGAGCCGAGGTCCCCAGCCAACAGCCAGCACTGTTTCCCCAGATCCTTGGGAGCCACAGCGAACACTCTGGGCTCACATCCTCCAGGGCAGGCAAGCCGTAGATCTGCGCTGACTTCTTGACCACAACGTCATGAGTGGCCCTGAGTCAGAAGCATCCAGCTAAACTGTTCCCAAGTGACTGACTCGCAGTAATATTTTATTGTGCTAATCTGCTAAGTTTTGGGGATACTTTTTACACAGAAACAGGTAACCAATACAGAGGGAGACTATTATAGAATACAGATTTATAGAATACGGACTTTGGTCAGCACTACAGCAGAGACAGCTGGGGTTCCACCAGAATCTACTGAGTCCTTTGAACACAGGCAGACCACCTTTCCGTCCTCTCTTGCACTTAGATGCAGCCACGTGACTAGGTGCTATCCAATGCGCTGTGCAAGGGCGTGATAATGACTTAGAAAGGAAATCATCGTCCTGAGGGAACGAGTTAATAGAATAGTTTGGTGGTGGTGTTGCTTGCAGGCTCAATGAAGCCTACCCCTGCCACTACATTGCAAGCTTCGGGGCTCTGGGAGATGGTGGGCACATGGATTTCCACTGCCAGTTACAGAAATGCCCTTTTGAGTGGCTTCAACAATGAGGACGTGGAGTGTCTCCCACAAGAAGTCCAGCAGTCGGTAAGTCGGCCCCAGGCCGGCCTGATCTGCCTCCCGCTCCACTCCTCTGTAAGTGTCTGGGCACTGCCCAACACTGACCATCACTTCTTCCTTGGCCAAGCTCCTCCTGTGGTCACTGACTGGCCCTCACACCCATGGCACTTCCAGGAGTTTCCAAGGTCTAGGATCTTTCCACGGCTAAGATCCAGGCCCATCGCTTTGCTTTAGTGGAAGAGACTAGCAATGTCCCCTTGGAAAATGTAATGCCACATGCCCCAGAGCGCGAATGACATGTTCATCTCAGCCCACAAGGACCAAGAGCCACTGTGGTTCTCTCCTGAGGTGGCCGCCTCATGTGCTCAGCTCGCTGCTTGGTTAGAACCATCTTGGCTGATCATCTTGGCCCTGCCTACCGAAATCCAGGTTGCATGGGTAAAAGCACGGGTAAGAGCAAAGGGCACATCGCATACATGATAGAAGGAAGGAAAAGAGTCTTGAGGGGAAAAAAGCTTCGCCACCACCCACCACTGTCTGCATCGCCCTACACCCCACGCTCACGAGCTGAGAGCAAGGAAAAGTATCAGGAGGTGTATCCGTCTGCTCAGGTTGCCGTGACGAAACACCGCAACCGGGAGGCTTAAACAACAGGCATTTGTGTCTCTCATGTTCTGGAGGCTGGGTGTTCAAGCTCAAGGTGTTGGCAGGGATGGTTTCTTCTGGAAGCTTCTCTCCTTGGCTTGCAGATGGCCACCTTCTCTCAGTGTTCTCCCACATTGTTGTCCTCTGTGTACATGTGCTAACGGTGCCTCTTCCTCTTCTTATAAGGACATCAGTCCTGTTGGATTAGAACCCACCCTCATGACCTCATTCAACCTTTGTACCTCCTGAAAGTCTCCATCTCCAAATGCAGTCTCGCTGGAGGTTAGGGTTTCCACACATGAAGTTAGGGGTGGGGCGAATACCCTTCAGTCCCTAACACAGGGTAAGGGAAGAAAGCACTGACATCGGTGATTTCTGGGAACAGGAACCCTGCACCCCAGTGCCTGGACTGAGGCTCCATGTGAATGCAGGACGCAGCTGTATTTGGGAGGGAAACACAGCAAAGGAGACTGATGTCCTTTTATCATGTGCAGCTCCAGAGACGGGGCAGGGGTGAGCAGATGCTCATGAGCGGTGGCTGTGTGTGTATCTGAGAAATGTCGCTCAGATGGCTGCTGGGCGATTCTCTGTGCCCCGTGATGGCGTGGAAGCAACAGGACTTCTGAGGACCCAAGGGTGGAGCAGAAGTAGCGAGGAAGCCCTGGAACTCGGCAAGGTCAGGAAGGAGAAACAGCAGAGACTCAGCACTGACCTGCTCGGGAGCAGCAGATATGGGTGCCTTCGGTTTCAGATGCCCCTTCTCCAGGTTCCAAACTCAGAGCAACCCCAGAGAAAAGTTGAGAGAAAAACGACATTGACTGGAATTCGATTTCTGTGACCCAAACATAGTAATGGCTCAACATAGAAATCAAATCATTATTAAAACACACACACAGCAATCAGACATGAAGAAAAAATAAAAGGGATCCAAATTGGAAAGGAGGAAGTGAAACTGTCATTATTTTCAGATGACATGATATTGTACATAGAAAACCCTAAAGACTCCATCAAAAATCTATTAGACTTAATAAATGAATTTGGCAAAGTAGCAGGATACAAAATTAACGTCAAGAAATCGACGGCATTCTTGTACATCAATGATGAACTCACAGAAAGAGAAACTGAAAAAACAATCCCATTTACCATCGCTCCAAAAAAATTACGATACCTAGGAATAAACTTAACCAAAGAAGTAAAGGACCTATTTGCAGAAAACTACAGGTCATTGAAAAAAGAAATAGAGGAAGATATAAAAAAGTGGAAGCACATACCCTGTTCATGGATTGGAAGAATTAACATCATTAAATGTCCATACTACCCAAAGCAATCTATAGATTCAATGCAATACCCATCAAAATACCAACGACATATTTCATAGAACTAGAACAAATACTTCAAAAGTTCATATGGAACCAAAAAAGACCCCGAATAGCCACAGCAATCTTGAAAAAGAAGAACAAAGTTGGAGGGATCACAATACCAGATATCAGGTTATACTACAAAGCGACTGTAACCAAAACAGCCTGGTACTGGCACAAGAACAGGCATATAGACCAGTGGAACAGAACTGAAAACCCAGAAATGGACCCAAGGCAATACGCTCAATTAATATTTGACAAAGGTGGCAAGAGCATACAGTGGAGTAAAGACAGCCTCTTTAATAAATGGTGTTGGGAAAATTGGACAGCTACATGCAAAAAAATGAAACTAGACCATCAACTTACACCATACACAAAAATAAACTCAAAATGGATAAAAGACTTAAATGTGACCCGTGAATCCATAAAAATTCTAGAAGAAAATGTAGGCAACAAAATTTCGGACATCATACGGAGCAGAATTTTCACTGATACATCACCTAAGGCAACAGAAATAAAGGAGAAAATGAACACATGGGACTACATCAAACTAAAAAGCTTCTGCACAGCAAAAGAAACAATCATCAAAATGGAAAGGCAACCCACTGTATGGGAGAACATCATTGCCAATGATGTATCAGATAAGGGGTTAATTTCCAATATATATAGAGTGCTCATACAACTCCACAAAAGGAAGACAAAGAACCCAATTAAAAAATGGGCAGAGGAGTTGAATAGACACCTCTCCAAACAGGACATACAAATGGCCAAGAGACATATGAAGAAATGCTCAACATCACTAATCATCAGAGAGATGCAAATTAAAACAACAATGAGGTATCACCTCACACCTGTCAGAATGGCCGCCATCAACAAATCATCAAACAACAAGTGTTGGCGAGGGTGTGGAGAAAAGGGGACTCTAATACACTGCTGGTGGGAATGCAGACTGGTACAGCCGCTATGGAAAACAATATGGTGCTACCTCAAAAAATTAAAAATTGAACTTCCATTTGACCCAGTGATCCCACTGCTGGGAATATACCCTAAGAAGCCTGAAACACCAATCAGGAAGAATATATGTACCCCCATGTTCATAGCAGCACTATTTACAATAGCTAAGATCTGGAAACAGCCCAAGTGTCCACCAGTAGACGAATGGATCAAAAAGCTGTGGTACATATACACAATGGAATACTATGCAGCGGTAAGAAAGAAAGATCTCTTATCCTTTGAGACGACATGGAGGGACCTGGAAAGTATTATCCTAAGTGAAAGAAGCCAAGCAGAAAAAGACAAATACCACACGATCTCACTTATATATGGAATATAATGAACATAACAGTCTGAGGAATACAGTAGACCCAGACACATGGAAGTAGGGCACAGACTGACATCCCTCAGAAGAGGGGATGGGGGGTGGGGGGGTGGGAAGAGATTAACCACAGAACTTATATGCATGTATGCATGACCAATGGACATGGACAACTAAGCCGGGGACAGGGTGGAGGGGGGGTGGGGTGGGGGGTGCCAATGGGGTAAAAAGGTAAAATATCTGTAACAAAAAAATAAATAAATAAAAAAGAAATACATTCTCAAAAAACACACACACACACACATAAAACAATGGTGGTTGTTCTGGTTCCCTTGAGTGGACTGAGATCTCAGGTTAGGCCGGCGGGTTAGGTGTGGTCACAGACAGTCCCTGTCGCCTGCCAAGGAAGGTGGACATTAGTTCCTGGGCAATGGGAAATCACAGAGGGCCACTGTCCATGACTTAAGAACAAATACTTTCTTGAGAGAATAAAAAGATTCACTACAAACTGGAAGAGCATCTTTGCAAACCACATATCCAGCAGGCCTTGGATCCAGAATAGATAAAGAAATCTCAAAACTCAACAATGAGAAGCCAAACTATCCAATTTAGAAATGGACCAAAGACACCAGCAGACCCTTCACCAAAGAGGACACATGGATGAAAATAACCACACGAAAGGCATTCAGCACCATTAGCCACGAGGGAATGTAAAATAAAAACCCAATGAGATACCACCGTGCACCTGTTTGATTGGCTCCACCTGCAAAGGAAGCTGAGCATAGCAAGCGCTGATGAGGATTCAGTCGTGGCAAATCTCATCCAATGCCGGTGGGAATGCACATGGCACAGCGGCCCTGGGAGCTGGTTAGCATTTATGCATTTACCGTAGACTCCAGAAGTCCCACTCCTAGAGAAAAGAAAAGTGTGTTAACACCCAAAGCTGCACTGTAATATTTCTAGCAGCTCCACACAATTGCTAAACACTGGAAACAACTCCAATGCCCTTCAACAGGTGAACGAATCAACAAACTGGTACATCTTCCCAAAGGAATACTACTCGGCAATAAAAAGGACAAAATCATTGAAGCATGCAACAACTCTGAGGAATCTGGAAATTATTATGCTGAGTGAATGATGCCAGTATCTAAATGTTACGTACTGGATGTTTCCATGTATGTGACAGTTGTGAAAGGGATGGCGGGGGGGTGGGAGAGAGAAAACTAAGGTGACACCTGTGGTGAAGGGACTGCTCTTTACCCTGATGACGGTGGTGGTGAAACAAACCCATGCTGGTGCGAAGTCACAGGCCTGTCAAAAGGAAAAGAGCCCATTTTATCCTATAATCCTTTGTTAAGGCAGATGTCCGTGGAAGGAAGGGCGTCAGCCTTCGGTGTCAGCTCAGCTTTTGTTCAATGAAAGTGTTATGAATCAGAAAAAGAGAAAATGAAGTGGTTCCCTGCCCGGAAACGCTTCGCTCCCTGCAGCGTGGACAGTGATGTGTGAAGCACACGCACTTGCTGGAGGAGCTTCAGGAGCGACCAGCAGATCAGAGGCCTGAGATGGGCCTGCGACAAAGGGGCACAAGGACTGGCCAGCTCGGGAGCCCTCTCCCCAACTATTCTAGAGGAAGGTGCTTAAACACATTAGATATAATGTCTTTGCAAACCTTTCCAGTTCTGAAATTCTATAATGCTGGTATTATTAGATGGGATTCTTTATATTTACACATTAATGCTTGGGAATTCATAAAAGGAGAAATTAAAAAGTCTATGCTTCCTATAGTCTGTTTTCCTCTGTCTCCTGAGCCACATCGCCAACTTTGCCTTTTGAACCAGCGTCACCCCACCACCACCATCTCTACTATCTCTACCATCCCCACCATCATCATCACCTCCTCTACCATGACCTCCATCTTCACCACCCCACCTCCACCACTACCTCCATCATCACCACCCCCACCCCCACCACTACCTCCATCATCACCACCCCACCCCCACCGCCACCACTACCTCCACCACTACCTCCATCATCACCACCACCACCACCACCCTCACCACTACCTCCATCATCACCACCCCCACCCCACCTCCACCACTACCTCCATCATCACCACCCCCACCCCACCTCCACCACTACCTCCATCATCACCACCACCACCACCACCTCCACCACTACCTCCATCATCATCACCACCACCACCACCCTCACCACTACTTCCACCACTACCATCATCACCACCACCATTACCACCACCTCCACCACCACCTCCATCATCACCACCACCACCACCTCCACCACTACCTCCATCATCACCACTACCTCCATCATCACCACCACCACCTTCACCACCACCACTACCTCCATCATCACCATCACCACCACCACCTCCACCATCACCACCACCTCCACCACCACCTCCATCATCACCACCACCACCACTTCCACCACTACCTCCATCATCACCACCACCACCTTCACCACCACCACTACCTCCATCATCACCACCCTCACCCCACCTCCACCACTACCTCCATCATCACCACCACCACCACCATCACCACCACCTCCATCATCACCACCACCACCTCCACCACTACCTCCATCATCACCACCACCACCTTCACCACCACCACTACCTCCATCATCACCACCACCACCACCACCTCCACCATCACCACCACCTCCACCACCACCTCCATCATCACCACCACCACCACCTCCACCACTACCTCCATCATCACCACCACCACCTTCACCACCACCACTACCTCCATCATCACCACCCTCACCCCACCTCCACCACTACCTCCATCATCACCACCACCACCACCATCACCACCACCTCCATCATCACCACCACCACCTCCACCACTACCTCCATCATCACCACCACCACCACCACCACCTCCATTATCACCACCAACACTTTTACCACCACCTCCATCATTACTATCACCACCTTCACCACATCACCTCCATCATTACCTCCATCATCACCACCTCTTCCACCTACATCAACTTTTCATCCACTACCTTCATCACATCTACTTCTACCATCAAAACCTTCACCTCCTCCATCATATATTTTCCTGGCTCCTATATTCTCTTCATGGCTTATCTTTGCCATAACTTTCTTCAGGAAGCTTCTCCCTTCCATCCCAGTCACCACTCTGGGTCAATCTGTTTGGAAATGATCCTTTGTGTTCTCACAGTACAACACAGACGTATCTGTATTGAAGAGTGTTTCCTTCTGGATGGAGATTGTTAGTTTAGTTGCCTTTCATTTGCCACAGAAAGTGTATCCTTCATCAAGGTCCTCCCTTTCTCCAGTGCCTGGCCTAAAACAGTGCCTGGCACATAACAGATCCGCAGTCAATATTTGATGAAGTAATGAATACATGGATCTTTTAAATTATTCAAAAGATAGTCTTAATTCTTTGAAATTTTGTAACTGTGGTGACTATCTTTATGAGATTTTATTTGTCAGCAAACATGGTAAAGTTGACTTTTCCAAATTAAAGTCCAGTGTTAATTACTAGGCCAGATCCCAGTCACTGGGCAAGGAGCGCCAAGGAATGATTGAAGTAAACTTCAGATAGCAACACTTCCTAAAATGCACCACCAGGTGGCAGCCGCATCCAAGGCGCCAGCCACCTCTGCCCTGTGACCACACCCCAACAGGCAGTGTGGGGTCCTGGACTGAAGACCACCGGCCACCCAGCGCCTGTCCAGCTCCTTTGAGGGACTCAGACCGCCTGTAAAGGACGACAGGTCCAGGAAGGTATTGCTCACCCTGGGAATATCAAAAAGAGGTCCCTTTCTCCCCCACTCTCCTCTCTCACTTGTGTTTGAGAAGGGAGGTAGTCCACCAGCCCTTTCACCCTTCACGTCCCCACATTACAAAATTCCCGTTGCCTATGTAGCGTTCCCCATTCCTCACGCGGGACCCTGCCCTGCTGTCTTCTCCACACCATCTGCTCCATCAGTATGTACTGATGACAGTATGAGACAGAAAGGCACGGTACCTCCTTGAAGGCCCCCGCCCTCCGAGAAAATTAGGGCATCTTGAGAATTGTCACATATGTAGGGCCGAAGCATACACAGACAAGGAGGAAGACGTGCAGACAGAGACAAGAGAAAAGCTCATCAGAAGAGACGAGAAGAAAGGGGAAAGCAAAGATGGTGTGGCTGGAGGAACCGGCCTTGAGGACATAGCCTCGGGCCCTGCTGGCTTCCGGAGGAGATGCTTGACCCAGCCAGAGAGGATGGTTAGGGAGAACCCTTCCCTTACCTGAGTTTCTCAAGGTGACCACCCAAGGAGACACTTAGGGCCAAACAGTCCCATTTCTTTGGCCATGGTACCTCTCCTAGGCAAAGAAGCAAAAATTAACCTGGGCAAAGAGCAGGTGGAAGGTGGTGGCCCCTCCCTGGGGCTGTCTGATTTGAGTAATCGCTTTGCCTGACCCTTCTGGGCCCTGCAAACAGAAGGCCAAGGAGGCCTCCTCTTTCCCACATCCACTGGATCCTCAAGGGCCGAGCCCTCCCCTCTGAGGCCGCCTCTCTTACTCTGTCTCTGTATCTAGTCCTGCCCTTGGTCCCAGTCTGGCACAGAAGTGTCACTGGGTGGAAAAAAGGACTCGCTCTGAACGTATTCTCTAAGAGTGGTGGCGTTTGGGGAGTTTTATGATTTTTTTTGTTTGTTTTGGTTTGGTTGTTGTTGTTGTTTTCAGATAATGCGCTGCCAGGGATGTTTTTAAGGCTGTGCCAACAAGACATTGGTGCACACAGCGTGAAAGACGAGGGGGTGGGCGTAGACGCCTCCTCATTAGATGCGCAGTCCCACAGCCAATAGGGAGACCTCTGCCGTCTCCCTGGCTGGTACCCAGCCCAGACTCCCTCCCCAAGGTGAGAACCTGCTGCCCCTCTGACTGGCCTTGGTGGGGGATCCCAGGGCCCTGTGGGACTCCTGCTCAGGGAACCCTCTTCTGAAGGGGACTCAGAGATCTGCAGTTCATCTGAGAGTTCCTGTCTGGGAATCCCCATGACTGTGTGGGAGCAGAGAGGGAGGGCGGTCATGGTCACTGCAACTGAGTCTCCAGTCTCGGTAACCTGTCCCTCAGTCACAACTGAGGCTACTATGTTATGGGGCTACTGTGAGGACCAAATGGCATACAGGCCTCTATTAATGGTGTAAAGGCCTCTATTAATCGTAAGGTATCTAATGAATGTTCATGCGACCATTCATTCCATATCGACTGGGCACCTCTTCTGGGCCAAGGCACTGACCTAGAATCCCAGGGGACAGTGGGAATCAAGATAAGACCAGGCCCTTGCTGAAGAGAGGAAATGTGAAATGATCCATGAGAAAGCAGCCAGGAAGTCTAGAATGCAGGAGTCCTCTAAGGCAGACCATCTGGCATCGCCAATAACAAAATAGTGTAAACAGAGGAGGGCGTGGCTCCCACAGACGAAATGAGACTTAGGAGAGCGGCTACTAGGAGGAGGGGCTGGTACTTGTAAGGATCCTGCTTTATGGAAACCTGTTTTTAAGTCAGGGACATGTGAATGTGGAATGAGTATTAACATCAAGGAATGTTAATGCCGTACATAATCATGATTTTGATGGCGTTGTAGTTGCTTTTTTTTTAAAAAGAGAAAAAGAAGAGAAGAAGGAAGGGAGCCCTTATCTGTTAGAGATACACATCTCCCCTTGCAAGGATGAACTAAACATGAGATGTCTGGGTTTGCTTTTGTGAACCCCAAGGTAAAAAAGACAATTGCTAAGAAGGGCTCCTGGTGGCTAGCTGGGTTCAAATTTTAAAAACAGAGCTCAGCAGCCATTTGAGCACAGGGACCTCTCACACAAACTATACTTCACAGAGAAGCCTGCACTGAACTGCCTGCCCGCCTGGGTTTCTGCCCCTCTGAGCCAGCCCTTATACAGGTTTCCTGGAATCCTATTTCAACCAATAGGACTCAGGCTTTTCCCGTCCAATCAGAGCTGCACAGCTCTAGCCAATCAGAGTGGCTCTATTCTAACCGATCAGGACAGTGCCTTTTGAGGGCAAGGATTCGGAGCCCTCATTTGCATGAGGACAGACCAATCAGGGACCAGGGGCCGGGACTTCTGTCCATAGCAGCCAGCTTCCCTCTGCCTAGGGGAGCCATTGTCCCTTTTCACCCAAAAAGAAAGATTGTGTTTCCCTTGCTGAGCTGAAACAACCCAGAGGAGAGGGAAGCTGTCTAGCCCGAGAGGGGTCTGGCCCCAGAGCTGTTCTCCAGCTGTGCTGTTCTCCAGCTGTGCTATATCACTGTTGAGCCGTTTGCACCAAGTAAATGTCCTTCTTCGCTGCACCCAAGTTGGGGATTCCTGTTGGGGTTGAATTGTCACCAACAATCATTGGCTGACAGTTTAAAATGCTAAAAAATAAAAATGTAGGAGGGAGGAAATGAAAAAGAATCAGCACTGATCATTGTGGAAGCTGGATTGTGGCTACATGAAGTTTCACTAAATAATTTTTCAGGGAACAGAGGATCATTGGGAAGTAATAAGCAGCAGAGCAACTGGGAACGCGGGGGGGGGCGGGGCAGGAGTACTGAGCCAGCCGGGGCTCAGGAGGACGCCCAGGGCGCGAGGCAGGACCGGGCGGGTCAGCGAGGCATGAAGGGGGCAGAAAGGGCATTCCAGGCCCAGAGAGCCGATGTGCACAGGCACAGAAGCCTGTTTTTATGAGGGTAACCAGTTCATCTGGGCTTGCTTGGAACTGGTCTGAGCTCAGCACTGACAGTCCTGCGTCACGTCACCCAGTCAGACCATCCGAGCAGGAAACGTTGGGCTAGCCAGGCAAGGGGGCAGAGCTGAGCTGGAGCAGTTATGGCTTCTGAATACGAAGCCAGAGCCTCTCCCAGGCAGTCCCCACGCTTGCTTCCTGCTTCAGTACCACAGCCCTTCCTCCCGGGACATTTAGAGTCCACCGCCCAGGGACCGAGCTGGCTTCTCATGCCCCCTGCTCTGTCCCACTGGGGAGGGGCCTGAAGACACCACGGCTTGCACCCTAGACACTTTCTTCTGGACCCTAAACTCTCTTAATGTATATATATTCATATGTGTGTGTATATATAAAAATATATGTGTATGTGTGTGTATATATGTGTGTGTGTATAGGGGTGTGTGTGTGTGTGTGTGTGTGTGTGTGTGTAGTTACCCCTTGGTACCCTCAGGGGATTGGTTCTAGGACCCCCTCAGATACCTAAATTCTCAAATGCTCAGGTTCTTTATATAAAATGGTATAGTGTTTGCATACACCATATGCACATTCTCCTGTGTACTTTAAACCATCTCTAGATTACTTATAATACCTAATACAGTGTCGGTGTTACGGAAATAGCCGGCGTACTATATTGTTTAGGAAATAATGACTAGGAAAAGTCTGTACGTGTTAGCACAGGTGCATCCATCTGCAACCAGTGTAGGCCTAACTACATGGTGCATGGCAGCTACAATGGACCTTTTTAAAAAATACTTTTTTGGCCCTGGCCGGTTTGGCTCAGCAGTTGGAGCACCGGCCTGCAGACCAGAGAGTCCCGAGTTCAGTTTCCGCTAGGGGCACTTACCAATAATAATTATAATAATAATAAATAAAAAATACTTTTGATCTGTGGTTGGCTGAATCCGCAAATGCAGAAACTGGGTATAAAGGACCAACTGTGTGTATATATATTATAATATATACAATATATACACTCCTTAAGCACTTGCTCTGTGCATTTTATTATTCTACCCTCATAAAAACTCTTCATTTTATTAAGTGGATGTGATCATTGTTAGCCATTAAGAAATTAAGGCTCCAGGAAGTTAATTTGTTTAAAGCCAAGTGTGAGGATAGTAATGCACCTCGCATGCCTACCTCGGCGGGTTTCTGGGGGACGAAGGAGGCGTTATGCGTATGAAGCAGACTCCCGCCCACCCTGGAGGAGGTGTTACGCCAGGGTTCGCCTTACTGATGGCTGCTCCCACCCCACATGCCATGCCCTGCAGAGTGGGGAAAGCAGAGAAGTCTCCACTAAGGAACAAGTAAATGATTTGATTATTTGCATTGCAAAATGATTCACCCAAGCTTCCTTCACAAGCCAGCCCGTTGGGTTCAACACACTGAGGGAGCATAAAGGTGGAGGCAGCCACCTCGCGCAACGACTTCCAGAGCTTCCGGCCACGGTCTCTGGATTCGAGTCCCCCGAGCAGAGGATGCTCAGCGCTCACGGAGGACGGAGGGAAAGCCGCTCAGCGTGGCCCCGTGCGGCAGCTCAGTGGACGGGCTGGCCCTGCGAGCTGTCTGCTTCTCTGGCTGTTGATCACACGTCAACCTCTGCAGAGCCTGCCCAGTCTGGAACTCTCCTGCTTGTTTCATAGATAAGGAAATCCAGATGTCAGAGACGGAAGGCGCTCACTCCCTCCTTAGCCACTGGTAGCTTGCGTCCCTCCTGGGAGCACCTCCCCTACAGACCCAGGGGAAGCCACCAGTGCGCTGTGACCAGCAGGACCTCCCTCACCTCATGGCTCACAAACAGTGAGAAGCCACAGCTTCTCCCTTCTCCAGTTACTGTTGAGAAGGGCAGGGTCAGCCTGGCTTCTGGGACCTTGGACAATTGGATGGTTTCGGAGTCCTCATCAGCATCTTGAGGATGGGCGACTCAGCACCTCACACTCAGTCTCCGCAAACAGAGTTTGGTAGCCATTCTAGACATGGAAACGCCTTCCCCACCAGGGCGGTGATCTCCATCATTCTCTTAGCACTGGGATATGAAAAGCCACAGAGGCAAAACCAGGATAGACAGGAGAAGCCAGGGTGAGCATGCAGCTTGGCCCCCCGTCCAGAGCTGCCTGCCTGGGTGGGGCCCTATATGCTCAGCTCACCGTCTGCTGGGGACCCCTGGTATCTTGTCACAGGTGGTGCCCATCTATCAGCACTGGGAAGTCCCCAGAGGTTGCCACCTTGGAACCGAGGACGTTAAATACACCTACATGTGTCTTCTCCGACATGCAGAACAGAACTCCCAATCTCATTGTCGAGACCTGCCCTGGGCAGTGCTAACAGCCTCTGCCACCCCATCGCCAGCGTCACCATCACACATTCCACTGACCCCCGAGCTCCGGGTCCCCTGACTCCTGAGCCTGGGTCAGGAAAAGCAGCCCTGCCCGGGCCTCACCCTAACGCACACTCCCCAAAAACTTGGAGACAACTGCAGAGAAGCTTCATTAATTTTTCACAAGATTCATCTAATAGTGCCTGAGCAGAGCTGAGATAAAGCCACGTTGCTGGCGCCTGTGCCAGCAGCCCGCAAAGGGTTAACCCATTAGCCCATATCCTGGTGAGCTCATCCCTCCGGAGCCTGCTCAGTGGCTGGGATTCGCTGCACACCAGCTCCTGGACGGGGCCAGGGAGCCTTTTTCTGCCTGGGATGAAGAACTTGAACAGAAACTCATTGCTGGCTTCCTCCTTGAGCAAGCTGTGTGTGACTCCCAGGCCCCCGTGCTCCCCCAGGACAGCAGGACGGTAAGTAAGGCGGGGTTCATCCCTCTGCCTTCCTTCCGCTCCCCTGGAGGAGCAGGCTGGTGTCCACTTTGCTTCAGGATGTGTTGAGTCTTCGGACCGGAGTTGGGAGGCAGAGTGCATGGCAGGGGGCTGTGCCTGGGGAGGGGTGCAGGAGCTGCAGCGGGCAGGAGAGGGCTGCCCACTGAGAATCTTGGCAGAAAGTGGTGGCAGGGCAGAGGGGCTGCCCTGCTAGGCGCCTGGAAGAGGGGAAGCTGTGGGCTATAGCGTCCAGCCTGCACCCTTGGCAGTCACTGGGGGTAGAGCTGGCCAGGGGACACACTCCCAAACCTGGTCCGAGGCTGGAGCATAAGGACAGACATTGAAGGGCTAGACCACCCTCAGACCCCAGAGCGCATGGGTGGGACGCGGACGCAGACTGTCCTGCTGGCATCCCGTATGGGACCTCCGCCTCCGCCTCAGGTGTGGCAGGCGCGCAGGGAGGCGAGCTGGCCGGGGTCCTCCTCATCGCAGAAAGGGGGAACTGACACACGCAGAAACATGCAGGGCGAGGTGCCTCGGGGACCAGATCTCCGGGGGAAGGCGGACGTTCTCACCTGAGCTATTTTTCCACCTTGTCAGTAGGCAGGGCCTGGGCCCCGGCTCCACGGAGATGCAGGTGAGTGGCACTGTCTCGGCTGGGTATGACCTTCGGAGAACTTTCCTTCCAAGAAGGTCTGTGAGCAGGTGACAGATGGCCGCTGTGCCCTGGTGACAGAGGCGGTGTATTGAGAAGGGCTCTGGCCCCTGTTATCAGCTCAGGCACCGCGCCCCACTCGCCTTTATCAGAGTGGCGGTCACCAGCTGAATGTCGCGTTGAGGGGAGGGCAGAGGCTAGCATCGACAGCTCGGTGGGGTGCTGTAGGGACTCCACTGAGGCCAGAGCAAAACCCTCCACACCTCAGGAGTTTAAAAAACTACCTTGGGTCTTTCTCAGAAATAACAGATCGTGTAAGTCCCACCACTTGCATTTGGGGGCCGCCCTGCCCTTCTCCCAGCAGCTGGCCCTGCTGGCTGAGGCCCAGCCCCCACTGGGGAGCCGTGTGTGCCCTCCTCTCTGCCTGGTCCTGCATTTCCCAGAATAGTCGGGCTGCTATCGGAGGAGAAGCTTGGGAAGGGGCAGATAAGGCCAGGCCCCAGCACAGCAGGACGCGTCGTATCGGGGCTGCCAGACATATCACAAAGATGCCAGTCAAGTTCGAATCTCCCACAAACAGCAAATAACATGTTTACTCTAAGTGTGTCCCGTGCAGTATTGGGAACATTCTTACACGAGAAAAGCATCCGTTGTTTATCTGAAACGCAAATTTGACTGGGCACCTTGTCATTTTATTGGCTAAATCTGGCCAACTGTTCAGCTGGACGGAGTTCCGTGAGATTCAAGGGAAGGAGGGCGGGGGAAGGGCTGGGGAGGAGCGTGCATGTGCGGACCCCCGGTGGCTGGACCCTGGGAAGGAGGGAATGCGTGGACAGAGGGGACAGGCGGAGTCCACCCTTGACAAAGCGAGGTGGGTGTGGTGTGTAAGAGCCCAGGACTGGAGGTCCCGCAGCTCTGAGCCTCAGTTCCTTATCTGTGAAATGGGGATGCTGGTGAGAGTCCCACCCTCTTAGAGCTATGAGGATGAAAAGGGGCGCTCCGTGGGGAGAAGGCGGCGTGTATCCGACATTCCGTGGTCCGCTGGAAGATGACGGTGGTGACTTTGAGGCCTCTCTGGGACAGGCCTTCTGCTGCTCGGCTGGCGTGGGCTCTGGGCCCCCAGCTTCAGCCCTCAGGTCCTCAGCAGCTCTAGGCTAACCCCTCCCCCAAGGCAGCCGTCACAGTGCTCCCTCCACTCACTGCCCCCCAGGCTGAGAAGACAGTCAAAACCACCCCACAGGGGAGCGGGATGAACTGGACAAGACAGGCTCCGAAACTCCCCTCCGTTTCCCGGCTCGCTGCTCACCGGCTGGGTAACTTCGGGCAAGTCCGTTAACCCCTCTGATCCTCAGTCTCCTCACCTGCAAAGCGGAGTATTACTCACCCCTTCCTCGGCGCCCCGAGATAGGCCGAGGCCCTGCGGGAAAAGCACGCAGTATGGTCCCAGCCCGTAGCAAGAGCCTGATAACGGGTGGTTAGTGTCATCGTGTGGAAGTGTGGCCGCCTCCACGCACTGTTTCTTCTGCTCTGGAGAAGCTGCTCGGGTAGCCTGGAGAGCGGCAGCCAGAAGGCGCCCGTCCTGGCCAGGTGTCAGTCGCCACAGGCCAAGGAGGGCAGGGGAGGCGCTGGTCAGCGGGTCCCTCTCGGCTCCTTCCAGCTGCCTCTCAGGTCCCTTGTGATTCCCACCCTACGCCCTTACTCGGAGAAGAGGGGTGCTGACAAGTGGGTGAGAAGAACTAGGAATGGTGACTTTTGACAGTTGCCATGACAGACCCTCCTGCCATAGTCCCCTATGTATTGAATTATTGAACAAGTAGCTGAGTCCCAGCCCCCAAAAAGCACTGAGTTACCTGCCGGAGAGCTCAGGACATTGCGGAAGGGCCAGCCCAGCCCCTCAAGGAGTCTGGGAGGGAGGGAGAGCTTCTGGTGCTGTAAGGACAGACAGTGTGTGGTCACCTCCAGGGCAGCAATTCACTTACTTCACTTCCAACCGTTGTTCCCATTAAGTGGTGCATTTCAGGCACTCAAGAATCTACCAGAGGGAACACTATTAGGTCCTTAATTTAATATCTTGGACACTCATTGTTGCTCACCAGCTGGCCTACTCCACACAGCATCAGGTCCTACGTCGGGGGATGAATGTAGGACCGCCTGAGAAAAAGCCAAACCGTCCCTGGCGGCTCTCGCCCTTCTCTTCTGAGACAGCCCTTCACCTCATTTCTCAGACCCCCGTGAGGGAGTGTGGGCGCCAAGCGAGGAAGTGTCCGTGCCTCGAGCTCCTCTGGGGAGAAGGGCATCGCCCTTTTGGTTTGGGGTTTGTTTTTTTTTTTACTTTTTTTTCTTTATTGACTTTAGAAATAGAAGAAGGAAGAGGGAGAGAGAAATAGAAACATCAATGAGAGAGAACACTGACTGGCTGCCTCCTGCATGCCCCCCACTGGGGATTTGGCCCACACCCTGGGCATGTGCCCTGACCGGGAATCGAACTGGCGACCCCTTGGTGCATGGGTCAACGCTCAATCACTGAGCCACACTGGCCGGGCAGAAGCACATTGTCTGAGTTGTCTGGGACTCCGTGTCTAGGAGAGGATGGCACACCGGTGTTGCTTGAAACGTTTGTTGCAGTGTTGGTGCAGCTGTTAGCTTAGAGCTGATTAGCAACCTGGGGGGTCACAAGGTCAACACTAGCTCTGAGCAACGTAAGTGGGCAAGGTCTCCAAGGAAGTGAAAATTACAAATGTGTGCTCAATAAGTAGACCAGTGCTAATGAGATTAAGGGACTGTCCCAAAGGTTCCTCCCTTTAGATGTATTTCTTTACCAGCCAAACTTAGTCTTTGCTCTGTCCAGGGTCCCCCTGGCTCCATAAAATCTGTGTTTTCCTTCAAGGGATGTTATCTTTCCAGAGACAAGGTAAGAAAGTAGAACTCTTGTTATCCTTGCCCTTCCTCACCTGCTCCTCACCTCCCTCCCTCCTCTGTCCCTTTTCACACCCACCTCCATCTCCATCTCTGTCTCCATCCCTTCCCCATCCTCATCCCCAAACCTATCCCCTTCTCCATGCCCACCTCCATCTCCATCTCTGTCTCCATCCCTTCCCCATCCTCATCCCCAAACCTATCCCCTTCTCCATGCCCACCTCCATCTCCATCTCTGTCTCCATCCCTTCCCCATCCTCATCCCCAAACCTATCCCCCTCTCCATGCCCACCTCCATCTCCATCTCTGTCTCCATCCCTTCCCCATCCTCATCCCCAAACCTATCCCCCTCTCCATGCCCACCTCCATCTCCATCTCTGTCTCCATCCCTTCCCCATCCTCATCCCCAAACCTATCCCCTTCTCCATGCCCACCTCCATCTCCATCTCTGTCTCCATCCCTTCCCCATCCTCATCCCCAAACCTATCCCCTTCTCCATGCCCACCTCCATCTCCATCTCTGTCTCCATCCCTTCCCCATCCTCATCCCCAAACCTATCCCCTTCTCCATGCCCACCTCCATCTCCATCTCTGTCTCCATCCCTTCCCCATCCTCATCCCCAAACCTATCCCCTTCTCCATGCCCACCTCCATCTCCCTCTCTGTCTCCATCCCTTCCCCATCTCTACCCCTATTCTCATACCCACCTCTGTCTTCATCTTTATCTTTATCTTCCGTCCCCAATTCCCAGTTTCTCCAAGAAGCACCTTCTTTTCCTTTCGGGATCTCCTCTTCCTCAGGATTAGGTACAGTCTTTCCCATTAGAGCCAGGTGACTCCTCACCCTACAAGTTTCCCTTTAGTGCCTCTACCCTATTCTGGGGTCGCTTCACCCCCACCCACACCCTTACTTTTCTTTTCTGAGGTAACATGCCCACAGCCCTATGTTTACCTTCAACTTCTCCAGAGTGGCTGTGTCGTCTTACATTCCCACCCAAGTGCACGAGAGCTCTGTGCCACTTCTCCCTGCTCTTGTGAGATTTTTACATTTTACTTTTTCCAGGGAGTCTGTGGCTGTAGCTCACGGTGCTTTTAATTGGCTTTTTTTTTCTGTTGAGTATCATCTTCGAGCACTTTTTCATGAGTTTCTTGTTCATTCATTTGTCTTCCTTTGAAATGGGTGTGTCCAAATCTTTTGCCTATGTTTTAAATTTGGGCTGTTTGTGTTTTATTAATCAAAGGTAGTAGTTCTTATATTCTAGATACTCCTTTAACGAATACATATTTTGAGAAAATTTTCTCTCAGTCCATAGCTTGCCTATATCATTTTTTTCTTAGTAGTGTTTAATGAACAGTTTTCCATTTGATGAACTTTAATCTATTGATTTATTTTTTTTCTTTCTTGGTTATTGCCTTCTCTGTCCTAAGAAATGTTGCCTGCCTCCAGGTCACAAAAAGAGGCTCCTATATTTGCTCCTAAAAGCTCTATAGCTGTATGTTCATGTCCACGGTTCATCTTGGATTGGTGTTTGCTGGTGGTGTGAGGTGGAGTTGGGTCTCCTTTTTCCCGTGTGAACATCCCATTGTTCTGAAACCATTTGTTTGAATGACTTTCCTTTCCCCACTGAATCGCTGCCATGCCTTTGTCAAAAGTCAGTTGTCCTTGGTTACTGTTTGGCTTGCTGGGCTGGTTGCTACAGACAGCCGGCTGGCTTCCTAGGAGTCTGACTGACGGACAGCCGGCTGGCTTCCTAGGAGTCTGACTGACAGACAGCCGGCTGGCTTCCTGCTCTGGTAACTGTAGAGCAAAAGATGGTTCCCGGGCTGGTTGCTGTAGACTGTGGTCAGAGTCCTATTTTTATATATAAGCTGACCATCGTCTGCCTGCTTATTCAGCCTCTCATTTATTGTGAACATTTGCAAACATACATAAAAGTAGAGATAGTAATGTAATGAACGCCATCATCTAGATTTAATCGTTTTTATTTTGTCGTGTTTCATTTAAAGTTTGATATTTTCATGTGGATCACAGCATCCCATTTTATCCCTATATGTATTTCATGGTGCGTCTCAGAATCTAGAAAGATGTTTTCTTATGTGTCCACAATATCATTATCACACTGAACACAAATTTTAAATCCTTCATGCCCCCTAATACCTGATCCATATGCAAACTTCCTTAAAAATGTCCCAAAATGTCTTTTTGCAATTGGGTTTTTCTCGTCAGAATCTAAAGAAAGGAACATATTGCATCTAGTTACATTTTAATTATCATTGTTTAAACATTTTAGTGATTTTTTTCATCCTCACCCGAGCATATTTTTCCATATTTTGTTCAGATAGAATGGGAGGAAGAGAGAGAGAAAAAAACATCGATGTGAAAGGGACACATCGAATGGTTGCCACCCACACAACCTACCAGGGCCGGGGACAAACTGCAACCGAGGTACATGCCCTTATCGGGAACCAAACCTGGGTCTCTCTGGACTGCAGGCAGACGCTC